AACACATTTGAAAAACGATATATATAAAGGTAACGAAGTTTTAAACCGCTTAAAATAATTGTTAAAATCGGATTTTATGCGGTGGTTTCAAAAAAATTATAATAAGTCGGAAAAATGCACTTATTACGTTTGCTTTTCTCTACGTAGATTTGCCTGTTAACCACATTTGAACTTGGTTTAATTGGATTATTTAAGATTTACGTTTAGCGTTTTTCGACAAGTAAAAGCCAGCCGAAACATTTGAACAACAATTTCCCATTGAGTTGCAATTCATTCGCGGGACGGAGTCAATGCACCCGTGGCACGCAATAATATGCAGCATGCCGCAACGGACATAAAACTCTGGAAATATTTTGACTTTTAATTAATGCCAGTTAGCGATTTTCCCTTGGTCGTCTGTGTGTGTGTGTGTGTTATCGCATTCCGCTTAGCAGCTTGCATTTGACAACTAATTTAAAAAGTTTACATGGCCGACAGCCTTGGGGTCTGAAATCGAGAGCATTGCGGCGAAGTGGGTTAAACCTGCTATAAATTCCAGAACAAAAGCCATAAGACACACTGTGCGACAGAGGCGGGGATAGAGCAAACGAGAGAGAAAGCCAGATAGAGGGGAGAACAAAGAAAAGCGCATTTCCACTTTGAGTGCGGTTTTTAATCAACTAAAGCAGCGCCAACAACAAACTGCAACGGAATTAAAAAACTCAGAATGCCCACTAAAACCCAAGGAAAGGAAAAGGGATGGAAAGCAAAGAGAAAACGCGATAAACTTTAAATGAAACGACATGTCGGCTTAACTGGCGAGGGAAAATGCAGGGAAATGCAGGGAAACGCAGGAAAACTGGGGAGCCTACAGATTGGAATTGCCGATAGCCAACAATGCAATGAAAATAAGATAAGAGAATTCTAGATTGCAGAATGGACTGGCGAAAAACGAAGTGGGAAAGGAATTATCCGAGTTGAATTTACAGCGATATATATTGCGGTAGATTAATCTGTAAAGATGAAGACATCATCGATACAATTTTCCTTTTAAATTTCAGTTTAGAATCTAAAAATGTGTGACATTGTGGGACTTTATTAAAAAAGTTACAAAATTTTAATTCATTATTAAAATCATTGAGATCAACAGCAGTTAGGTTTATATATTTTAACACTGACATTGGTTTTATATTTCAAATTGCAAATCAATTTCAGGAAACAATGGAATTTTAACCATAAATTAATTATTTAGAAGGAGAAAAATTAATCTTTCAGAAGCCATTAAAATTATTTTCTTGAAAATGCCAAGCTAACCAAAGTTTTCCTCTCTATTTAGCACAGTTTCTTTGCTATAAACTTTTCCAAACTTTCTGTTATCAAGAATTTAGATGCTTTATGGACTTTCAATACTTGAGAAAGATTTTTGCACAAAATAAAATTTTCTCTCTTAAAAATATGATTGCAAGTCTACAGGAAATTCAAATTTGCCAGCGAAAAGCGGAATCAAGATATATTCACCTAAAGAGCAGGTGAGCAGCAAACAATAACAAATTGTATGTGTGGTAGGCCACGCCCCCGGGCGAAGTCTCACCTACGCCCACGAAAACGACAAACGAAAGTTGGCAAGTTGAATTTGCCTTTTTTCAAGGACATTATTGGGACATGGCTGGGCTGGATTCTTTTTGTGCATATTTAGGAGGGGTTCGAAGTCAGGGCCCATGTCGACCTGTACACCTGTCCAATGGCAGGAAACGTGTCCCTGCCACCCAGTGCCCCATGTCCCCTGTCCCCTGCCACGCCCCCTAATCCCGCCCTGAAGGCTGTCCCACTGTCGAGTGCACCAAATACAAATTAGAATTTAAATGAACAATGCAACCAGAGCGGAAGTTTCTGCGAGTGTGAGTGGATTTCTATTTAGGTGTGTGGGTATTAGTGGGTGTAAGTTCAATACACAGGGGAAAAATCACAGGCCTATGCGGAAAATAATGGTTTTCATATATTAAAATGTGTGCTACTTTGATATCTTAAAAATTATTTATAACATCATATTTGGACACGGCTTGATAAACTTTGTACAGCTTTAAATCTATATTGCTCAAAGTCTATTTTGGTCAAGTCTAAGATGTGATATACAGGTTCATTTATAGATCCAGCTCTTATTTTCTCTCAGTGCAGAGAGTACAGTATATGTGAGGACGACATTATGGGTGACATTGCACGTAGAGCGCGTGGGCCAGCAACATCCACAACAACTCCTGGCAATATCCATAATGTCATACAGTTTGGCGCGTACTTTTTTGCCACTTTTCCCCCCCCCTCAGACTTTTCACCCAACTTCGCTTCTTCTTTTCCCCATCTTCAACGTGCTTTTTGGGGTATTTCGTGGAAACTGAAAATAAGAGCATGCAAAAAGTTTCGAGATTTTTGCACTGAAGGCGATGTCAAACTGGGTCGGTTCAACTCAACGGCGAAATGTCAAACGGATTAATGGAATTTCCCCACGATAATACATTTTCGGAAAAGTGCAGTCAATGTTTAAATGAAAGAAAGGAAATGGAAAACGATCAGCGGTATAAATTAAATTAAAATACACATTCAATTCGAGTTGTCAAAGAAATTAATGGAGTTTTAACCAAAAATGGTATTAAATGGTAGATCAGAGGATTGCAAAAGAAAAAACTATACTTAAAGAATATTTTCAATCAACAGTTTTATTAAAAAATGGACGTGTTAGTCAAATGAACATAATTTATCCAATAATTTGTAAACCGCTGCATTCCTTGCGGTGTAATAATAATTGTTAAAACTTATAAAATAAGTCTTAACTAGTCTTAAAATAAAATCATATTAAAAATAAGATTTAATTTTTTTTTGGTGTTTTTAAAAATGTTCAATTAGGTCAACCAAATTCAAGACCACAAACGATAGGCTCACTGTTACACATTTAAAATTAAGGGTATGGCAAACAGAACGCAAATCGATTACGCAAGGCGACTACGAACGACAATCCTTTCGGCCATTCATATTGAAACGGCACTTTTCGGGGATTCTTTTACAGCGCAACCGACCAAGTCAATTAAATATTGAAAGAGCGTTTAAATTGTTGCCCGGTTAACTGGCGAAATGGTTAAACATGGGCTGGTTGCACTCGCCACTCATTCATTAATTTTCCTCGCACCTTCTGGCGACCTGCTGCTGTCAAAGTTGAATTTATTAAAGCGAAATTCTTTTAATTAAAAACGTGACAGGTGAAAAATGGGCAGTTTTTGTGTGCGCAGGAGGCGGTGCACATCAAACTGAATCGTGTCCAAATTATATTAATTATGAATTTGGACAATTCGGCTGAAGCCAATTTGACTGTGTCCTCAAAGCGAGCATTGAACTCGCAATCAACGAAGCCAGCATATATAGTATAGCACAAGCTGATTCATTTGGCGTGGAAAACAGTTTGTTTGCTTTCTGGAAACCCCCCCTTATACACAGACAGAAATAAAGGGGGTGGTTGGATGGCTGATGGAAAGGATGGCGGGTAACAACGATAGCTCGCTGGCATCGTTTAGCGTCAGGTTTCGAAGTGCGAAATGTTCCCAGCTCGCTAAAAAATTAAATATTCAAATATAGCAGTTGCCACAGCTCACAGGAAAAACCAAGAACTGGGGGAAAAGCAAAAAGGACCAAAGGAGCGGGGGCGGAAAAGGAGCCGTTTAGTTTGGGATCCAGAGCTCTCGAACTAAAGGGGGACACGAGCAGTTGCACACATCCATATGCATATGGAGGAGGCGACAAAAGTGTTCCAGTTGATATCGGTTCCAATTTTTAAAAGAGACCCGAAATATATGTACCTATTTATACAAGAAGCTAATATAGTTACCCTATTATTTTATTTTCTCAAAAAATGTATTTGTATACTTGGATTCGAAACTAATTTCCACCGAATTTGGTGAGAAAACTAACAACAACACATTTGTTTTTATATATGCGGTTTTACGGCATTCGTAATAGCAAATATATCTGAAACGTTCGAGTGGAATGCTTAAACGTCATTCATATTACAGAATGTTTCTTATAAATCAGCGACCGGAATGGTTCTATTTAATAAGCATAGAATAGTGTTTTGCCGGCTCAGTAGCAGATAAGCTCTGGAAGAAGCCGACTTATAGACAGTATAACCCTTCGTAGAGCTTCGGCATAAAACCTCTGCTCATGTTTATCAGCTTTGCCGCGCTGTTTGGACACTGTTGAAGTATACACAGCAAAAAAATTTTAAAGAAGGGTTGGAAATTAAATTATTTTTTATAATTGGGAAATGTTTAATTTATAATTTTGTTATGGAAAAATTTTAAATGATTTAGTATTAAGGGATTAAGGGACGTTATTGTAACAATCATTTAAGCTATGATAGATAAAGGGCAAAGGAAAATATTTAGAGCTTAAAGCTAAATATTTTTCAATTCATATTGGCGATAACCTTCCGGATGAGGGCAACTTAACTTCTTAAAATGTTTTATATGAATTAAACTTTTTCGTTTTCATTTATTGTTTGCGTAAAGTTTTTTGGGCAGTACAATCAGTAAAAACAATCATCGCATTCACGCATTGCCGATCGTTTTTTAATCTTAAAATTGAATCTATGACTCATTAATATTTTGATGCTGTTCCCAGAACTTTTGGAACGGCTCAGTCATAAAAGAAACGCCGTTGGATCCACATATTATATTTCTGTACTAGTGAACGTACAATTTTTTATTTGGAGTTTAAAAGTATGTAGCTAGATGGAATCCATTGTTCCTAAAGTCGTTAATAATTTATGAAAAAAGGGTTCAAAAAATAAGTACGCTGAAGATTTGTATTTTGTTCTTCGGTTTGATAAAATTCCGATACCTTTATATGACGGAAGAATACGTGGATCGCTGAAAATGCAATTGAATCAATTGTAAAGAACAGAATACAATTGCTTTATTACTAAACTTTCAAAAGTGATAAAGATTACATCATACTATTTTTAGGTTTTTTTGCTGAAAATGCGAATACGTTTGGGATCGTTCGTCACAGCTCTTTTGCTGATAATGGAAACAACAAATGCGGAAATCGAAGGTTGTGATTTCTTCGACACTGTGGATCTTTCGTCAGCCCAGAAGCTCTCGACTGGTTCATATCTGTATAAGGATATACGTATTCCCAAAAATTTGACGGGTGAATATGACTACAAACTTCTGGCAAACGGCACAAAGGAGAAGGTTACAGTCCATACAAGAGGATGTGTATGCCAACTAAGTCCCTGCGTCAGGTTTTGCTGTCCTCCCAACCAGATAATGGAAAATGGCGTGTGCCACGATGACATGACAAAGAAGGAGCTGGATGAACTCGATCCTTACCTGAACGTGACTCTCGACAACAAGTCGGTGGTCAGAAAGAACTTTAAGACCGACCTAATCGTGCAGTCGGATTGGCCCATGGCCTGTGACCATTTATTCTACCTAGACAACAGGGAAAAAGAGGATGAGTACACACTTTTCGAGGTTTTTCTTAATAAATATGCCTTATGACTCCTGATTAATCCGCTTTGTCTTCCCGAAGAATGGAACCATGCTACGCCACTTTGACAACGTGTTCTTAAACAAGCGAGAATACTGCCTCCAGCATATGAGGTTAGACGACGGCAGTATTCGAATTGCGCCCCACATCTGCATGGCTCCCAAAACTTCAAGAACAGGACAGACTCTGGGTAAACTAAAGTATACAAAAAGCTTTATTGATTTCAACATTTATATTTTCTTTCTTTACACAGTGATGATAATATCCATGATATGTCTTGTTCTCACGATCAGCATGTACCTATTTTTTAAAGAACTAAGGACCTTACTAGACAAGAGCTTCATCTGCTACATGATCTGTCTCTTCATGGTTTACTTTTTCCAACTTCTAGACTTGTGGGACTTATCGCAGGGCTTTTGCATGACAGCCGGTTAGTTCTGTGATAATACCATTTGATAATAGCATTTGATAATACCATTTCCTGATACCTTACCCAGCTTTCATGGGCTACTTTTTCGTCATGGCCTCGTTCCTCTGGCTTTCTGTCATCAGCCTGCACATCTGGTTAAGGTTAGGCCACTACTACTTTGAGCACTGCTTCCCGGCTTACTCCTTATACGCCTGGGGTATGGCGTTGGTCTTGACCGAAGTTACTTTAATAGCACATACGATCGTAGAAAACAAGGATTGGAATCCCCGTGTGGGCTTCGCAGACCGGTGCTGGATCAATAGTGGGTTCTTGTTTTCGACTTTGTGAGCACTTATGCAGCTTCCGATCTCACCCACAGCTAAAGATTGGTCTGCCATGATCTACTTCTATGGACCGATTCTAATATTAGTTGCGTTCAACATTATTATGTTTATTCTGACGACTATTCGTATAAATGAAATAAAAAGGGAGTTAAAGTTATTTTTGTCCCATCAAGGAGACATTCCATCAAGGTACCGAAAGCTCAAATCGACCAAATCAAGGTGTATATAATTGTAATTCAAGTATGAAAATATTTTATAAATTCATTCCTTATTCCACAGTTTCATATTTTTTCTGTGGCTCTTTATCATGATGGGACTGTCGTGGAGTTTGGAAATAATTTCCTATTTGGTGGATGACAACAAACTTTGGAGCCAAATTTTACTGGTGGCCGATTATTTAAATTGGTGCCAGGGTACGATCATATTTATACTTTTTATTTTAAATGCCAGCAAGCTTGATCATTTTAAAAAGCGGTAAGTAATCAGCGATTCTGCAAATAGTTCCAGTAACCAGCTCTTATTTTTGTATCTTCCTTAACAGCAATACAACACATCGTCATATAGAATTAGAGATGTGTGAAGGAAATGTAGAAATACCGGCTAATATAGAATATATCCAAAAATTCCATTAAGATATATTCTAATCAACTATTTATAATCAACTCCATGTCCGGCTTCTCAGAAATGTTTCACGTCTAAGTAAGACAAACGGATCTTTCGATCACCTCTCAAAAAACATTTTCTACGCAGGACTATACCAGACATATTATACAAAAAAGTTTTTAATGAATATATATAAAGTAAAGTAAAATATTATAAATTACCATGTACTTATTTGCTTGACGCATTGTTGCATTAATATTTTTAGTAGCTTACATTTAAGATCTTTCTTGAGACTTCCTATAAACTATGTTTTGCAAACGCAACCGCTAAATAAAGTATGTTTTTCAAGACCAACTGTTTTTAAACACAACTTAATAAGTTAATTCTCGGCAAAGCAAAACGCTTACGCCAACTTTGTCGGCTGGCAATCATGTGCCAGTACAGCTTCTATTCCAGCTTGGGCTCCAGCTCCAGATACAGCTGCAGTTCAGCAGTTGCACGGCTCTGCAGCTCGAGTTTATGGCTGAAACTAGTGCAGTTAAAAGCCCCGCGGGCGAGTGCCACCAGAATGAAGATGTGTGGGTGTTGCCAAGTTTATACGGGGGCGTTATGTGTGTGTGTGTGTGTGTGTGTGTTGGCCGTTGAAGTGTAATCAACAGCACGGCGGCAATTACGGCAGACACTTGTATGGGTGAGAGTAGTCCTGGCTGAAAACCCCCTCCCCCCCACCTTTTGCCCTCCTTCCCACATAGGCATAAAAGTTGGCGGTGGATAACGCAGCACAATTTGCCAAACTGCACTGAGCGGATTTAGAGCAAACTGCTGAAATGCCGAGGAGGAAAATGTGGATAAACCTCTCACATCAGTGCATTCGCCCCTGCTTTGGGAATTTCATCCTGGGAGTAAAACTAGAATCTCGTTTAAATGTGTGCGCATTATAATTTTAATGAATATTACATTTCACGTCACGAATTGAATTCGTATCTCGGAAAAAAAAAACATCCAGCTGCACTAGATTCGCCCTCACGGAAATGGAACCATCAGGTGGAAATATTTAGGGTGGAGTTTCATGAATTCATGGCAAACTTTTAATATTGCAATTGATTGGGGAGTTCGAGTGGCTATTGGATCATTTAAGCCACGATGGAGCTCAACTATTAACAAACCAGTACATATTTTCGTTGAGAACTCGTTGTTTAACTTGTACTCTTTAAAGTTTAGAAAGTGCTCATTTATTCTCAAGTTAAAATCTTGATATTTCACTCGAATTTTGCTATCGCAGAATCGATTCACCTTTTCTACTTATTCGAATGCATTGATTTTAATAGCCTCTAAATGCGGAAAGAGGAGTTCATCCAGCAACACCGATTGGCTGGCTGCTCATATCGATAACCAAACACAAACAGAAAGTTTCCTGGTCGATGGAGGGAGAGCCATTCAATTTTTATACCCTTGCAGAGGGTATTATAATTTTGGTCAAAAGTGTGCAACGCAGTGAAGGAGACATCTCCGACCCTATAAAGTATATATATTCTTGATCAGGATCACCTCCTGAGTTGATATAGCCATGTCCGTCTGTCCGTCTGTCCGTCTGTCCGTCTGTCCGTCCGTCCGTCTGTCCGTCTGTCCGTCTGTCCGTCTGTCTGTCCGTCTGTCTGTTTCTACGCAAACTAGTCTCTCAGTTTTAAAGCTATCGAGTTGAAACTTTGCACACACCCTTCTTTCCTTTGCACGCAGTATATATGTCGGAACGGCCGGGATCGGCCGACTATATCCTATAGCTGCCATATAACTGATTGATCGGAAATGCCATAACTTTGGTGTTTGTAAAGTTAGGAAGCTGGGATTTTCTATGGGTTTTATAGTTGGCCAATCAATCCGACCTACCAAATTTCATAAGGATCGGAGGGCTATATCCTATAGCCGCCATATAACTGATTAATCGGAAATGCCATAACTTTGATGTTTGTAAAGTTAGGAAGCTGGGATTTTCTATGGGTTTTATAGTTGGCCAATCAATCCGACCTACCAAATTTCATAAGGATCGGAGGACTATATCCTTTAACCGCCATATAACTGATTAATCGGAAATGCCATAACTTTGGTGTTTGTTAAGTTAGGAAGTTGGGATTTTCTATGGGTTTTATATTTGGCCAATCAATCCGACCTATCAAATTTCATAAGGATCGGCCGACTATATCCTATAGCTGCCATATAACTGATTGATCGAAAATGCCATATCTTTGGTTTTTGTTAAGTTAGGAAGTTGGGATTTTCTATGGGTTTTATTTTTAGCCAATCAATCCGACCTATCAAATTTCATAAGGATCGGCCGACTATATCCTATAGCTGCCATATAACTGAACGATTGGAAATGCCATAACTTTGGTGTTTTTAAAGTTAGGAAGTTTGGATTTTGTATGAGTATTAAGAATGCATCATATGAATAATTTTGGAGAATATAATTTACAGAGTATTCTGCAAGGGTATATCAACTTCGGCTCCGCCCGAAGTTAGCTTTCCTTTCTTGTTATTAAATAACTTCATGCATGGCAAGTGCTTTGCTGCGAAAGGATTCGGTTCTCTAGTCGATGTGAGGATGGGGATGAGGATGCGGATGAGGATTGGGATGAGAACGTGGATGTCGTCCTGTCGCCGCTCGATGGCTCTGTCAATACCAGTCGTAGCATCTGGGCGGCTGGAGTGGTTCTGGGGGGCGTGGCAGGGGGATTTTTATTGATACGCCTCGATGCCAGGCTCCAAATCGCATATTATCGCGTCGTGTGTGTGTGGGGGCTATGTGGGTCTGGGGCGTATCCTGCCATGTCCTGCGCCTGCATTGATCATTAATCTTTGCAAGCTGCCAACGTGTTCGCCTTTTTCGGACCTCAATTGCCTGGCGAGTGTGAGTGTGTGCATGAAATGGCGGATGAAGTCCATTAGAAAACTATTGAAGCACATTTTGTCGATTGCAGCCAGCAGTCGAGCAGAGCCAAACTCCATATCCTGGCCATGTGGCAGGATGTGGCAGCTGCCGCAATTGAATGCTCTCCCCGACTCTAAACCTCTCGAACCCCAACCCCCCCAACCCCGTAACCCCTCGGGCGAAACCGAAAAAGAGATTTAAAGCGAACAGCAAGAACCAGACTTTCAATTAACCGAAGAAAGAAGTGCAATTTGTTGGCCTAATCGAGGCTTCTTTGTATCGAGAACCAATATAATGCTGCCAATTGATGAATATTGGTCCTTTTGAATTCAAGAATTGAACAGATTTACTATTTTAACTTTATATTGGAGAAGAGGGCAAACCTGGTGGAATACATATATAAGAACTATATAATACTAGCTTTTGTGCACATTTTTAAAACCAAATACACAGAAAGAGATAATACTTAACAAAAATTAAATATTCCAAAAATAAAATTAAAGAGAATGTTCATGTAAAAAAGTTGGATTTGAATTTATATTCTTGAAATAACTAAGAACCTTAAGGCTTTAAGAAAAAAAACCCATTTGTCCATATTCTTCGAGATTATTATGCTCTTTAAATACTTTTTTTTATTAATCAACATTTTTTATATTTCAATTAGCTGCAAAATCTCAAGCTCTGAGCTAGCAAAAGCAAGAAACAAACAAAAATAGAAAATAAATAAAGTATGAAAAGGGTCCAGATGCTCAACCGCAAATAAAGTTCTTTGAGTATTAAACAAAATAAATAAAATGCAATTTAATATGAAAGAAATAAAAAAAGGGAAAACATACATCAACAATTTGCGCTTCTGCTCTTTTTTTTTTGCGCTGGCTTATTTTCCATTTTGCCCTTTTATGGCATTTGCTGCCTTCTTTTGTTGGTATTTTGCTTAATTATCCACATGAAAAGTCCTTCACAAATTCCATGGGGCAGCGCGAAAAGATGGAGGAGAAAAAGCGTAAAATGAAATTACATTAACAGTGGAATAAAAGTGGAAATATGTTAGAAATGCGAGCGGTCCAGAAGTGAACGTCAAGTGCCAAAATGAAGCTAACTTTGAAGAGATTTTCGCCTCGAGGTGGATGGCATAGAGATTTCTGTGGGAAAAAAGCAAAGGAGTGCGAATTCCAGTGGCAGATTTGGTATTTGAAAGTGGCCATTACAAAAGTTTCATGTTTTTTGAAGTTAATGCTAAGTCAGTTAGGTCCGATCAAGTTTTGTTGCTGTTTGTATATAGCTTGATAGCATAGCAATGTGGTTTTTAGAATATTTGAAATACATTTCGTGCGCCATATTATATAGAGATTATATAAAAATATTTAAGAAGTATAAAGTGTTTTAGTTTATTGGTTAAGAAACACAGATACAATGATTTCCATATCGAAATTTTTATTGGTAGTCTTTTGGAGATTTGTTCTAACAGTGCATTGCCTAATAAGTTTATAAACAAAATACTTGCGCTCAATTAATTTCAGTCGTTAGCAGCAGACACCAACCGACTGACCTGATATCAAAGCCATCTCCACTAACCCGCCGTCTGGCATTTCACCCCAAAGTTCAAATGCAAACGCTGCCCACAAAGATCCGGGAAAAAGGTTCAAATAACCCAAATACATTTTTTGCACTTATTTAGAAATACTCCTTCGGCTTTTCCCTATTGACAAGAGTATTTATTTTTATTTCGGTTTCGTTCTTTTTGGGGCTTCTCTTTTATGCAGTTCATTTGCCAACTGAAAAAGAAGAGGGGCTAAATAAATGGCAAAGAAGGAACAAATTTAATTAAATCAAATATATATAGTATATGTGTGTATGTTTGTATGCGTGGGATGCTGGCTTTTTAATTTGATTATATGTTTGCGCTTCTGTTTTTTTTTATGTATGTATTTTCCTTTCGGCATATGGTT